GCGGGGGTCTTATGGTACACGGTTAGGAGCCTGCACTTCATACTGTTTGTAGAGAAGCCACTGCACCTAGTATAAAAGTATAATACAGAAGAATCCCCATGGCTGTTGTGTGAACTCAGACCATAAGGTAATGGATAGAGGCAGGAAGAGGGCTGAGGAAGTGATTCAAAGTCCCAGCAAGACATGGTGAAGGCCTGGGTTTAGACTCAGGTACGAGTTGGGAGATGAGGAGTGCTTGGGCTTGGGATAGATGCTAATGGGTCCGACATGAGGTGTGAAGGAAAGGCAGCGATCCAGGAAGACTTTAGGTTTGAGGGATTGAGCAACTGGGTGAAGTCACTGCCGAGATGATGAAAAGAGGAAGAAGTGTAGGTTTAGAAAACAAACCAGAAGTTGGTTTTGGAGATGCCATGTTTGCAAGAGTATAGCCAAGTGGAGAGGTAAAGCAAGCAGCTGAAAAGCCAGGGAGAGACAGAGATCAGGGAGGCAGATATGGAAGTCATCACCAAATAGATGGAAATGACTATCACCTAAGTAGTGAGCTGAGATGGGAAGCGGCCAGAGCACAAAGCTGTTGGCACTCCATCGTTTAGAGGCCAGGACTAGGAAGAGAAGGATCCAGCAGAGGGGACAGAAAAGACAAGCGCGGTTGCAAGCGGAATCAAAATGGAGCAGCACCACAGAAGCCATGCACAGAAAGAATTTCAGGAAGGAGGGAGTGGTCAGCTGTGCCCAGTGCTGCTAACGATAAGCATGAGCTCCGTGATCAAGGGCCAGGGCCTCCATGACTCATGATGAATGAACAATGCGCTGAGATAACATATCTTATCCATAAATGCACTCAGACTACTTAATAAACTGGAATAGTAACCCTCAGTTCATCTAGAACACCAACGCTCTGTTTCCATGAATGCCTCGTCACACAGCCAGCCCTCCCTCCTTCAGGATTCTCCTGGGAAGCAACCCAGGAGATCCCCAGGCCTGAGAAATACAAGCAGCTCTCGTCGGTAGGCTTAAAAGAAATGGGGTAGCAGACCACTGCGCACAGCAAAGAGAATCAGGTGTGCTTGGGTAGGACAGAACCATTCCACAGGTTTCTATATTTTTCTAACTCACAGCCTGTGAGAGAAAAATTAATGAAATCATTCCACCCATCGTCCATAGTCCTTGAAACTGCAAAATATCTTCAGTTTCTGCCACTTCCGATTACTGTTTCTAAATCCCTTTTCTCCCACTATTTGTCATGTGATGCAGCACCTGACTTTTTTTTTATTATTATTATTAATCAGGTTTACTAAGGTTTAACTTATTATACATGGGAAAAAAATTTACCCTAAGTCTGATGCGTTTTGACTAATGTGTAGTCATGTAACCTCCGGGACAATTAAGATACAGAGTATTTCCATCACCCCAAAGAGCCTTCCCTTGCCCCTCCACACTCAATCTTCTCTGCTTGCTTCTGGTCCTTGGCAAGCAACCATCCGATGTCTCCCTGTAGGGAGACAAAACTGTAGTTTTGTCTTTTCAGAATGTCATATACACGGAATCAAATCATACACAGCCTCTTCTATCTGGCTTCTTTCACTAAGCAGAACACTTTTGAGATTTATCCATGTTGTTGGCCTGCATCAGTAATGTGTTCCTTTTTGCTACTGAACACTATTCCATTGTGTGGATGTACCATAGCCTATCCATTTGCCAGCTGGTGGACATTTATTTCCACGTTTTGCTAATTATGAATAAAACTTCTATAAACTTTCACTAGAGGGTCTTTTGTGGACACGGGTTTTCATTTCTCAAGTCAATACCTAGCAGTGGGGTTGCTGGGTCATGTAGCATCTAGCTTCTGTCCACTGAGAATAGCTAAACATCTACTGAGCACTTACTTTCTCTCACACAATGTTCCAAGCTCTTTATATGCCTTATGTTATTTAATTCTCAAAACAGCAAGTTTAATCAAGCTGTTATTATCCCTGCCTTTTTGATGACGAAACTAAGGCACCAAGGGGTTAGGTGACTTGTCCAAGATCACACAGCTAGTAGGCAACGGCGCCAGGCCTCTAAAACCCAGGAATCACATGGCAAAGTGCAAACTATCAACCATTTTGCTTTGCTGCCTCCCTCAAGTCAAATGCGTGACATCTGAGAGATGAATTTACAAAATTCTCCCTGTGTTTGGACCAAAAATGGTCATTGCTGACTATTCCTTTCCCCTCTTCAAATCATGGCGATGAATACGCCTGAACTCTACACCACTGCAACAACGGCATGCCGTTTTAAAGTCAGAACTTTATAGAACATTACGAAGAAGTGCTTTTAACCATGTCACAGAAGCTTATAAATGTTACCCTATTAATGTTCAATAACAACTGTAAAGGAAGCTGAAAGTCAGCCCACTTCTACCAGTAAATACTGTCCTCTGGAGACTTTTCCACTCTCGTGACTAAGAGGTCCTGTTAGTAAAGAAAATTACAGGGACTGTGGAATCAGACAGACCTGGATTTAAATTCTGGCTCTGCTCCGTAGTGGACAGGTGCATATATATGTCCTCGCACATAAAAGCTGGTGTGAATTAAGTCCTAATTTGCAGGGCAGTCCTAGAGATTTGATGACACAACGTGGTCGAAACACTGAACACTGTGTCTTATGTGTTTAATAAAGCTCCTCTCCCCCATTCCCCTTCTCTTCCACAGCACGCTGCTGAGCCTCTGTAATTAGCATGATGGAGGCTGGTTCCTTAGCAAAGTTGTATCAGTCTGTTCATTTTCCACCCAAATAGCAGCAAAGGAGAGACTGGACAGAAGTGCTTCTCTAAAATTTCACATTTCACCTTTAAAAAAAAAGTCATGCTGGGGCGCCTGGGTGGCACAGTCGGTTAAGCGTCCGACTTCAGCCAGGTCACGATCTCGCGCTCCGTGAGTTCGAGCCCCGCGTCAGGCTCTGGGCTGATGGCTCGGAGCCTGGAGCCTGTTTCCGATTCTGTGTCTCCCTCTCTCTCTGCCCCTCCCCCGTTCATGCTCTGTCTCTCTCTGTCCCCAAAATAAATTAAAAAAAACGTTGAAAGAAAAAAAAAATTAAAAAAAAAAAAAAGTCATGCAAAAGGTTGCACTTTATATTCCACAGTATAATCAAAAATATTTTAATATAAAAGCGTTTTACATTTCCCTCCAGCTAAATGACTTAGCTTTTTCCTGAAATTTTTAAGAATATTTGTTTAAGGAAGATTCCCGACTATATGGTGGCTTCACTTACCTGCTGCCACACTGCCACTTTCCTTTTTCTTAAGTTTTTTTATTTATTTATTTATTTTGAGAGAGAGACATTGTGAATGGGG